AGTGGATATTTATTGGTCTTACTAGATCACAGGCCCTTACACGGAGAAGTAAGTCAGCCAGGTCTCTATCCCAAAGGACATCATTCCAAACCAGAATGACAGGTGCCTAAATAGAGGTGTATATAGGCTGAGGCCAGGCTGTGAGTGGTAGAGACTTATCAGGGAAGGCTTCCTGGAGGAGATGATAACACACTAACCTGGACTGAGAGTGAAGATGGACAGGTGCAGTGAGGCCAGCATTCCTGCTACACCTAGCACCTAGTACAAAGTAAAGGTGGGGAGATGGCAAACAGTGCAGTGTGGCCGAAGAGCACAGGAGGAAGTGTGGGGTGGGCAGCTACAGCAGGGGCCCGGGGGGAAGCTCTGAGACCCCCAGGTGGCGCCAGCCCTTGGGGGGCCCCCCTCTGCCTGCTGACCAGCAGTTCTACCTCCTGGTCCTCACACTGTGTACCCCCTGCCTGCCACATTTCAGCTTTTAAATGGAACTTACTTGAGATCTTCCAGGGCACCAAGACACATGTGAAAACACAAAGCTTTCATGTTATTTTCTTCTCTATAATTTATTTTTCTGCAACCTAGCCTGATGTTTTAAGAAAGTGCCCAGCAGCAGTGATAATAATAATAATAATCCTGGCCTCCCAGCACTTGCTTCTGGCTGTCACTTCCCAGGCTTTGGCCAGAGGCACATTTATTTACTATGACCCAGTTGTCAACCGCAGAGGAATGGTCTCCAAGTGCACGGGTGGGGGCCATGCACTGGGGCTGGGAGCTTCCTTAGTTGAATCCTCCTAATGACCCTTTGAGGTAAGGGATTATTTTCACATCTGTTTTTCAGGAAGAATAACCAGGCTCAGAGAGGTGAAGTTATTTGCCCAAGGGCACACAGCCTTTAAGTGGCAGGGACTGGACTGGAATGCAGGTTGGCCCGGCTCCAAATTTGCCACAAGTGTTCATCCTGCTCTGTCATCTCAGTCCTGTGTAGTGGCTGAAGACCACGTGCCCTGGGGTCTGACCCAGTGTGTGCCCTTGGACATCTTTCAGCCTCAGTTTTCTACCTGTGGAATGGACAGAACAGCACCCAACCACTCAGCCTGCTCCTTGGCTTGGGGGCTCTGTAGAGTATCAGCATATTGGGATATTGTCCCACCCCAACTGGGAGGCCTTAGACAAATGCCTAAACCTCTCTGTGCCTCAGTTTCCTCCTCCATTATTTGGAGAGACCCACACCTGCCTTACAAAATAAAAGGTCCATGTAGAGCATAATAGGTGCTCAACTAATGCTTTCTCTCCTCCTTCCTTAAAATGGACTCCCGGTGTCCAGAGAGGATGTAGGCCAAGCAAGACCCAACATGGGGCAGGGACACTTGGAAATGGGTAGCTCCTGGCTCTGGACGGACACCTGTCCTGCCTGCCCCGTGGTCTCCATGAGGTTCACCCACCTGTGCAGGCACTGAGGTTTCCTGCAGACGAATTGAGTCCATGTTCAGCATTTTCCTCTCCGAGCCAGCTGCAGGCCCTGGAGTGGAGGTGTGCGAATCTCCCGGGCTGATTGGTTGTGGAGACAGGGGAGCCCACCCCGGCCCTGGAGGAAGGGGTTGGTTTATAGCCCCCTGAACCTGCCTGAATGCCCCACCCCTTGTGCTGATAACCAGGGAAGAGGACACCCAGGTGCCAGTCCCTTGGTCAGGGAGGCCACCAGCAGCCGCCCGCTCCATCAGAGGGTAGCTGCCCATGCCCTCCCCTCTGCAGGGCAGCCTGCATGACCCTTCTCCGGGTTCTTGGGACCCAGTGCGCTGTGGGCCCCAGCCCTGCACCCTTCGGCTTGGAGACCCTCCCTGCCTCTCCAGCACCCACTGCAACTCACTCATTCTGTCTGTGTCCTACACCACTTCTTGCAGGAAGCCTCTGACCCTCCCCGTCTGCTCTTTGCCCCTCCCAGACTCCCAGCCCCCAGCACTCCCTCTGGACTGTCAGTATCTGCATATCTGTCGCCCTCATTGGACCGGGAGCCCCTCCTGGGCCACTCCTGGTTCAGTTTCCATGGAGTGCTGTGCATGAACTTGGGCAGCGGTGAGGAAGTGTGTCCCTGGAAGGCCGAACAGCCTGGGCAAAGGCATGGGCAGGAGAGATGCAGTGGTGTGTGGACGCCAGCATTGTTTGAGCTCCACTGGGTGCTGGGGCTTTGCACACATCAACTCACTTAGTCCACAGCAGCCCTAGAAGGAGGGTAGGCTATTATTTCCATTCTACAGAAGTGGAAACTGAGCCTCAGTTCAAGGGTAAGAGATTAATGCAAAGTCATCCACTGGGAATGCAGAGTCAAGAGACACCCGGTCCCGCCTGACTCCCAATCCAAACCTGACCATCGTCCGTATTGTGGGAGTCTCCTGGGTACTCTGAGCACAGCTCAGGTTCATGTGGAGAGAACATTTTAGATTTTCTTTTTCACTGAATTACCTACAGTCTTTGGTTGACCTTGAGTCTTTCATTGCATCAGACCCTGGATATCTTGTGAGTTGACATTTTTTCTTCATTAATGGTTTAAGAATTGAGGCAAGACATAAAGCATATTAACTGCACCAATTTTAAGTGTCCAACTCAATGATGATTATATTCTTAAACACACTGGCAGCCACAGCCCAGATCAAGACCTAGAACACTCTGCATTCTGATGAAGGCTCCCTTGAGTCCCCTCCCGTCAGGGGCCCCCCGCCAGTCGTTATTCCTCTTCCAGAGGTTAGTTTTGTCCATGTTTGAATGTCACATACATGGAATCCTGGGTGTGAATTCTTCCACATCTGGCTCCTCCGGCTCACCCTGGGTCTGTGGTGCCCCATTCTTTTTCATTGCTGCATAGTACTCCATCACGGCACCCTGGCCACCCCACCCTTTGCTTATCCATTCTCCTGTGGATGGACATTTCTGCTATGAGTTGGTTTTTTCCCACTAATTTGATCATTCATTTCATGATTTTGATGCAAGCAGGGGCTTTCATCAGGGCATTGTGCAGAGTTGTTTGGTTTCCCAGAAGTTTAAGGAACTGTGAACATTTTCCTGGTCTGATTTGCTTTGGAGCAGAAATATATATATATTTGCAACTCCAAGTCTTTCATTGGAACACAGACTTGGGAGGGGCTCGGGCGAGGGAGAGAAAAGGAAGCAAATAAGCTTTAGTGAAGTTTTCTCCTTCTCTTCACATGAGCTAAGTGGCAGCTGATGGAGTCTGCCTGTAACTTAAAGTCAAATGCTCCTAGCTGACAGTGGGGGCCATAATAAATGAGCTGCCACTGTCCTTTTGGTGTCCTTTCTCTGCTACTTTGAAATCTCATAAATAACAGAGCATGTTGGTAAGACGCCTTCCTTCCCTTCATTTGCTCCAGTGGAGCAGCTGCGGTTGCTAGGCTGAGCTCCTAGTTGCTAGGGATTTTGTGGTCCTATGGTGGCCCAGAAATATGATGGATCAGTGGAAACATGCTTTTGCTATTAATTGAAACGTTTCCACAGTGAATCTCTCAATGTCACTGCCTGCTTTGACATCGCCCCAATTGGTCGATGTTCTTTGCAGGTTTCTTTCCTAGTTAGAAGAAGTGCCTTGAATGGAAGGGATAACTGACCTAGGCTGGAAATCAGAAAAGCCCGATTCTAGTCTGTATCTGATATTAATTTGCCCTGTGACCTTGGGCAAGCATCATCCCCTGTCTGGGCATTGAATGCCACAACATTCAAGGACCTGCCAGCTTTCACAGCCCACGGTTCATCACCCAAGCTCTGTAAGCAGACCAAGTGCAAACCAGTTCCTCATTATCAGCCAGTGGATTATTGACAGAAGCATTCTTGTCCCCAGCTCACTTCCTCTCAACCCAGCAGGCTTCTGGGCTGAGTCTCCTTGGCCAGATGGTGTGTGTGCAAGAGTTTCAGACTAATTTTAATATTCAATCAAATATAATTGGAGTCGTAAATCTGAAAAAGCAAAAACAACACCCTACAGTCCATAAACATCTGATCATGTCATTTTCTCTTTCCTCCGGCTTAAAAGCCTTTGGCAGCCTCCCACCGCTTGCACCGGGGATGGCGCACGGTGTTCATTTCGGTTGTCGAGACAGATCAGTTGGTGGTGGCTGCAAGAGGTGATGTCCTGAGAAGAATTTGGACTCACTGGCTTGCCGTGGGATCTTGATCGATTAATAATGTCTGCCACAGGTCCAGGAATGTGAACAGGGATGCGTATTTGCAAATCGTGGCTGAAATATAAAGCCCATGCCTGTTAATATCATGTTTGAGGCTTTCACAGTCGGCACCTGCAAGCTTCTCATGCTCTATCTCTTCTACTTCTCTGTCTGGCCCACCTTCAAAAATACTTGCTTCTGGGTCCACATTCAGTTGATCACCGGTTGTCTCCAAAGATCTAAAAATGTTGTCCATTTAGTCCCTTCTGTCTAGTGTGACCTTTAGTATATGACATTGGTCAACTCTGCCTATTTATCTTTCAAACTTCAATCACCACTTTGTCTCATCTTCTATGGCATTCTCTTTGACTCTCTTGGGTGGGATTAATTAGTTCATTCCTACCTCTGATATCCCGTAATTCCCCACTTATACCCAAATCCTACCGCTTGGCCTGTTTCACACTTCGTTGCTTTTATGTCTCTTTCCACTGTTCCCTTGCAAGGTCCTCAACGTCAAGTCCTAAGTTTTGCTCATCTTTGCATCCCAGAGCCCAGCCAGCACAGAGCAGAGCCCCAATAAATCTACTCAATGAACGAATGAATGGATAAAAATCACACTACATTTCCAAAGTCAGATAGAAATGCTTTTTATAACTTTCCCGACACTCTGAGTTCTATGTGCCAACACTCCTCAGCCTACCTAATTGTGGGTGATTCGCTGTGGTAATAAAGTGACCACATGTTCGCCTGAGACCAAACTTGGCTTCAAGTTGTGAGTTTGCATTTGCTTCACCATGACGACCTCTTTTTCTTTCTTTTTCCTTCCACTCTCAGCCTGAAGACAAGCAGAAGGCAGTGGCTGCCTTTGCCCAGCTCCAGGGTGCCATGGAGACGCTGGGCATTTCGGAGAGTGAGCAGCAAGCCATTTGGCGGGTGTTGGCAGCCATCTACCATCTCGGAGCAGCGGGAGCCTGCAAAGGTACGTCCTTCCTGCTGCGCTCACCTGGGCTGCCAGCTGTCACCACTGGCAGGTGCCTGACAAGGCCCTTCTCTCCACGAGGTGGGACAGGCTCAATCTGTCGTCTTCTGTGTCTCTGGGACGGCTCTTCAGGAGGCTGCTAAACCAGGCACGGTGAGAAGGAAACAGGGCTGGGTTTTTCAGGCAGACCTTGTAGAACAACTCTGTCCAACAGAACTTTCTGTGATGATGGAGGTGGACTTCCGTGCTGTCCAGCATAGAAACCACTGGCTACATCTGGCTATTGAGCACTCAGCTTGTAGCTCATGTAGCTGAATAGTTGAGATTTAATTGCATTAAATTTTAATTAATGTAAATTTAAATAACCACGTGGCCATTGTACCGAGCAAAGAAGCTCTAGACCGTGTAAGAGGTTGGGTCCAAGCAATAAAGGTGTGTTTCTACCTAAACATCTTGGAGGTGTGCCCTTCCATATGTGCTGATGCTAAGCCAGCTATCCTTCTCTCCCTGACTCTGCTGTCCTCCATAATTGTCTGTTTGTTGATTATGCCTACTTCGACTTAGTTTCCTACCTGGTTCTGATCATTCTTCTCATCCTCACCTCTCCCTCTCCAATTATTCACCTGGCCCTTTAGATTCTGTCTATGACAACATTTGAATGCTGGTTTCTGACCTCTCTATTTGCCAGTCTTTTTTTCTTTTTGCATGGACTGTTGCAGTAGCCTCGTTGCTGATGCCTTCACTCTTCCCTCTGACCTTCCTCACTGTGACCATTGGCCCCTGTCTGAAACATAGACCTGTTGTGCCATTCCCCTGCCTAGAATCCTCTGGAGGGTTTTTGCTTGCTTATTAAAGCAAGTGAAATTCCATGGCTTGGCACTCAAGTCTCCTCACTTCCCTACCCAGCCTCATCTGCTATATCTTTTGGCCCTGTGAAAGGTCCTGGGGTGACAGTAGGGATTAAGAGCAATATGGTTCCTGCCTTGGACTATCACTGTTCTTGTCTAGGTCTTTCCAGTACGGATGGCTTTCTTTGGGCCCACACAGATTTGGAATTGACTTATCAAGAGCACATGTGAATTGCAGTCTGTCCTCTGTACATCAACTCTGGCTGACGTTCTGGGACCTATATGGGGAAAAAGACTCTCTGGAATGTGCTGGCACATCATTACTGTCACTCCTACACTTGTGGGCTTGTGGTCCATTCTTTTCCTTCTCACGCACTTGAACTACATGTGTTGGCCCACTGATTTGATTTTGGAAATTTCTAGAAATTATGCCAAGTCCGAAATAAGTAAGGTAGGATCCCTAAGTTGTTCCAAAGCAAGGGTAGACATGATTGAATGTGAGAAATCAAAGCCACTTGCCTTTCCAAACTCAGTTGTGCACCAGGCTCAATGCCTCAGCTGTTGGGGTATCACATCCTTTTTGCTCATGGTAATGCTTCTCACTCAGCTTTGTGGTCACTGAGACCAACCTGGGTCACGCACATTAGAGTGTGAGAACATGGTCCGTGCATATGTCCAGCTGCATTTCTCTTCCTGCAAAACTCACCTGTCAGAAATCTCTGCCTGTGCATCTCACTTCTTCCACACCAGAGGTCAGTGACCTATGGCTTGTGGGCTAAACCCAGCCTGCCACCTGCTTTTATATAGCCTGAGAGCTAAAAATAGATTTTACCTCTTACGTAGATGAAAACAAAATATATGTGTAAATATACTATTTGGGGACATGTGGAAATTATATAGTGTTCAAATTATAGTTTCCACAATTAAAGTTTTATTGAAACACAGCCATTCCCATTCATTTATATGTCTTTGGCTGCATTCCTGCTAAGTGGCAGAGTTGAGTTATTGAGACAGAGATTGTATGGCCTGCAAAGCCTAAAATAATTATTCCATGGCTCTTTACAGAAGAAGTTGACCAGCCCCTATTTCTAAACCACCCCCGTGGAAGATCATGCCCTCAGAGGTCTTTGTGGCTCTGACCTCCCTAACTAGTTTTGCTCTGAAAAAACTCCTCTGTCCTCCTCAGACCTAGACAAACCAGAGGCACGATGTCAGGAATCCAGCTCTGTCCCCACTTGCTGTGTGATTGTAAGCAATCCCCTCTCTCTCTGGTTTCTCAGTATTTCTCAGATGTGAAATTCTGGAATTGGGAAAGATTAGAGGCTCTTCAAGTAGGATCCAGGCACCTGTCCACCAGGAGTTTAATGTGTGGATTTCAGGGTGTATATTGGTTTCCTAAGGCTGTTGTAACAAATCACCACAAACTGAGTGGCTGTTTTCTAACAGTGCTGGAGGCTGGAAGTCCAAGCTCAAGGTGCCAGCAGGGCTGGTTTCTGCTGAGGCCTCTTCCCTTGGCTTGCAGACGGCCACTGTCTTGCTGTCCTCACATGGTCATCCCTGCATGTGTGGGTGCTGACCGTGTCCCGATCTCCTCTTCTTGTAAGGACACCAGTCATACTGGATTAGGGCTTCCCCCGTGACCTTATTGTACTTTAATTACCTCTTTAAAGGCTCAATCAACAAATACAGACGCAATTTGAGGTGCTAGAGGCTAGGTCTTCAACGTATGAATTTTGGGAGGATGTAATTCAGCCCATAATGCACCGCGGTCCCTGGGATGAGCCAACATGTGCTTTGTGGCCAGACCTGGCAGAGGGCGGGGTAGGAGGAGCTGCGAGGATAGGGCCTCTTCTTGTGAGCTTGTCATCTTATTTAGAGAGATGGGACTTCTAAACCGGAAGCTGTCAGCCAGCCTGTGAGCTTTTGGGGTTGGGGGTGGAATTGCACAGCTCAAGCTGGGAAAGCCACAGAGTTGGGACGTCGTAGGTTGGGGATGTGTGGAAGGAAGCAAGCCTGTTTTACAGATTGGGAAACAGGCTCAGAAGGGCTTGGAGCAATAAATCAAAGGGTAAAAAATTGAGCTGCTCTGAGCTCCAGTGGGGGTCTCTTTCAGTGGGCCAGGAATGGAGTTGATGTGAGGATCAAGTGACATAAGGGAGAGGAGGCCGAATTAGGCTGGGTTCCCTGGAAGCAGACCCTGAGACACAGAGCTGGGTGCATGTAGCTTTTCTGGGAGTGGGGGAAGGGAGACAAGGAAGGGGAGGCGGGTGATGCTGGGTGCATTAATGCCTCGGTTACCTCTGGGCAGTTTGGGCCTAGTTCCCTTTGAACCTCTGGAGACTCTGGTTGTATTACTCTTAGCTGGTTGTATTGCTCAGGAGGGGAGGGAGCCAGACATTATCCACCTCCTGCTTCTCCTTAGTTGAAGCAGTTCCTGGGGAGAACGTTTCCTCCTGTGCTTCCAGCTTGTCCCGTGCATGAGGTGAGCCTGCTCCTGCAGCCAGAGAAAGCAGGACACGGACAGGCTCCTGCAGTGACAGGCCAGGGCAAGGGGCAGCGGGGAGGTCATCAGTAGTGCTGAGCTTGGGGCAGTCCTTCAGGAGAGGGCGACTCCATGATCATGTTTTTGAGCCTGGGTTAGGTGACTCTCCCACAGTAACCCAGCTGCTTGCCTCTTGGCCACACTCAGCTCACACAGGGTTGCTCCCATGGGGCACTCACAGGCTTGGGAAGAGTACAACCTGCAGACAGGTGGGACCTTCTGATTTCCACCCTTGAAGCATCTCTGCCTCCAATGCAGCGGAACGGAGGTTAGTGGAGCCCCCTGGCTAGGTGACCTGTCACCAGAGAAGTTTGGTGCCTGAGTGTCTCCTCCTGGGGCACAGGGGCGCCCTTCTGGTATGGGTTCAGGAACTCAGCCCATACCTATAGCTGTCTGTAATGAATAGAAGTGAAAGTTACATTTATAAATATTTTATTAATACATGATTATGGCAATAATTTCTGCAAGCCTCCCCCAACCCCACCTTATAAATTATTTTAAGAGGAGCTGCCGTCAGTCTGCCTGGAAGGACTGGCTGATGGTTGACTTCCTCTATATTCTACTTTGGAAGATCTCATAATAGGTTGCTCTAAAATCAGCTATTAAGACATTCAAAGTCGTATATAAATGTCTTTGCTTTGTGTCATAACAGAATCACTTTGAAATATATTAAGAATCATTTCCATTAATCAGTTTTTTTTTCATTAAAATGATGATCTCTTTCCCACCATGTCTGGCTCCCTTAACTTATTTCCAGAGGCCTAATCTTATTTTTAAAAACCACACTCAGTCCCTTGTGGGGAAATTTTAGGCCTTAAAACGGGACTCGGGGTTTTTTAATGTTATAACAATAACCACAAGCACCACCGATGTCGGTTTAGCACTTGACAGTTTCCAAAGCACTTATACCCCTGTTAGGCCTTCTGGTCTGATTAGATTCGTGCAGTAACCTGGTGAGGAAGAACGCAGCCAAGGGCCAGAGCCAGGAGTCAGCCTGCTGCCCCTGGACACTGGCTTGGCCTCTCTGAACCTCAGTTTCCTTCTCTATAGAATGGAGCTAATGATGGGATCTGCTTTGTAGGCTTGTAGTGAGTGTGAAATGAGTCAGTGCCCACAAGTAAGAGCACAGGGCCTGGCTCATGGTGGGAGGCTTCATAAATTGTTCACTTTCATCCATGTGCATTTGATAGATTCGAAAATGGTGGCTCAGAGCAGGGCTGGGACTTACCTGATATCACACAGGTACTATGTTCCCTACTGAGATTTGGAACCTCAGCCAGTCTCCCTACAGGTGTCACCCCACTTCCCTAGACTGTGCAGCAAGCCATCAGGGTCATTCCCTGGTTGAGAATTCACTTGTTTTTCTGAGCCCTGAGCTGAGTGCCTACAGACATGACAATGTCTGCACAACCTTAGAACAGCCCCGGGGGGGTGAGGGGAGGAAGTTGACAACTATTGTGATGCCCATTCTACAGATGAGGAGACTGAGCCCTGCCAGAGAGATGCACCCCTATCTCCTACAGCCAAAGGTGGGATTGGACACAGGCTGCCTGTGCTCTGAGCCCTGCCTCCAGGACCTCATCCCCTGCCTCCCTAGCACCCCGTCCTGC